ACCCCAACATAGCTGTTATATATTTAATATTTTGTATCGTTTATTGTCGACGCTTGTGGCACGTTGGACACACTGGTCCTCGTCATCAAAACGTTAAGCATCATTGGGCGCGGTCAAGTACAGCAGTCTGGGATGGGTGACCGCTCAGTGGAACACCACACACGTACTTGTTACCATTATAATATATTATTTATCATACTATTATACCTCTCTATCGATCTTGCAATTGGGTATTAATTTGTTACCTGGTTATTACACATCATTAATATTATAAAAGTAGGAAAAAAAAATATCAACATCTAGGTTTCTCACCTAGAACTCCCTCCAACGCTTCTCCAGATAGAATTCCTCAATATTTATAAACTTAGACCTTCCCACTTGTTGCTAAAAATCACCAACATTTACCAAGTATATAGAGTGTTCGGCCAGTCCTGGGAAAAATTTTGAAGGGCGATTCTAGAGGCAAAAATGAGCCAAAAATTAAGAATACCAATTTATCGATCGAGGCTCCATTAAAAAGTTATTAACGTTTAAAGTTAAAGTGTGCGCTGTGCGCTGGTCGCCGTCTCACATGCGCAACTTTAAACATTAATAACTCTTTAACAAAGCCTCAATCAACAAAACACTATTCTTGATTTTCGTCTTATTTTAGCCTCTAGAATCTCCACAATCAAAATTAAAATATTAGTTTTAAAAAGTAATTTCTCTCGTAGTGATCGAGTGTCGAATTTATGAAAGAGAAACGAAAGACAGACTTGTTTGTCAAAGAGCGACGACGAGAGACACGCGTTCCATTAGCCCTTTCAATTATGTCGTTCCTGTTGCTATATCGATCGGTTCTGCAGAATTGTTTGCACGTTGCGAATTCGTGTTACACGTCCGGCTTAATCGGATTTACACGGGTCTATGTTTCGGCTAATTATTGTCTTAATTAAAACGTGCAACGCGTACAGGCGGCCCGAGAGAGAGAGGGGAGACGAGAGAGAACACCGAGAATATTAGGATCCATTAATGTAATGCTCCGTTTGTTCGGGGAGTGGGAAAATCGAGCATCCGGCTGTCGTTCCGAGGCTTTAATTACCGCGCTGATTAACAGATATTAAAACGAGACCAGCTCCTCCCCCTTACCCCCGCGATTTTCCGCGCCCGTTCTAACGTTCCGTCGGTGATCAACGACTGCGAACGAGATCGATATTCACACGGGATCGGCGGAATGAAATCGCGCGGGGACGTTTCATTTTTAACGGTCGAGGACCGTCGCGCGTCCGGGGCTTCGTAATATTAATTAATATCAAATTTAACAATTTCAATTCAACCGGGGTTTCCCCCCGTTTCGAGGTTTATTCCCCGGAAATTTTAACGAAGTATGTAAATTCGAGATTGAAACGGACGAAGGAACCCCTTTTTTTCGCGACCGCGTTAAGGAAAGGACGGTCAAATTGAAATCGTTTAAACGTTAATCAATTGTGTGTATTAAACGAACTCCCGCGAATTAAATGCCCCGGGAGTTTCTCGTCGAGATAAAATCCTAAATTAATTCCTCCGGGGCCGCTAAGTGGCTTCTTTGAAATGCATGAACGCCATAAACGTTAAGACTCGAAAGTGTCTTTTCCGGGGATTCACTTTCTGACAGGAGAATATGAATCTTGTGAAAAATTCAACGCCCCCTCAGACTCTAGGGTGCTTTGTCTCAGGAATCGATTAATATATTTTCGGAGTATATATTGCACTCGATACAATTTCCTTCAGGAGGAGGGGGAATTAATGGAGAAATTGGCTGATTAATTTTCCTCTTCGCGAAGCACGGATCGAGTTCTTTAAAGCATTTCACTCTTCGGTTCCATTTCTGATTAATGGACGCTTTTAATATGAATAAAATGTCACGAGGACACATATTTTTTATTCCACAATTTGGAAACATTTCTCCGCGTACGAATACCATTTCTGCAAATATTCGTTTCTGCTGCAAGCATTTTTTACTCTCGTTGACGTCCTTTCCCCAATATCGAGTCCATTCACCGTAACTTCGAAACGTTTCAAACCACTTAAATTATTCGTTATCGTTTTCTACCCAATATTGCGTTTCCATTCATCGTAACTCCAAAACCATTTCAAACCGCTTCAATTATTTGGGATCATTCTTTCTCCAATATTGCATTCCATTTACCATAACTTCAAACCACTTCAAACCACTTCAAACCGCTTCAAACCGCTTCGAACCAATTTCAAACTATGACATACATGGAATATCTTTTGAAATTTTGTCAATTCGATCTGAAAATACGCGATTTTTGTAGATTTGACGAGCCCCTAGAATCCAGGTGTTCTGTAACCTAATCCAAACCATTTCAAACCATTTCAAACCGTTTCAAACCGTTTCAAACTGCTTCAATTATTCGTTATCATTCTTTCCCCAATATTGTATTCCATTTACCATTACTTCAAACCATTTCAAACCATCTCGAACCACTTCAAACCGCTTCGAACCAATTTCAAACTTTGACATATGTGGAATATCTATCGAAATTTCGTCGATTCAATCTGAAAAAAAAAACGCGATTTTGGTAGATTTTGCGATCCTACCCTAGAATCCAGGTGTTCCGTAACCTAACCCAAACCATTTCAAACCATTTCAAACCGCTTCAATTATTCGTTATAATACTTTCCCCAATATTGCATTCCATTTACCATTACATCAAACCATTTCAAACCACTTCAAACCACTTCAAACTTTGACATAACGGAATATCTATTGAAATTTCGCCGATTCGATATGAAAAAACGCGATTTTGGTAGATTTGGCGACCCTACCCTAAGGTTCAAGTGTTCCATAACCTAATCCAAACCATTTCAAACCATTTCAAACCATTTCAAACCGCTTCAAATCAATTTCAAACTTTGCCATAGTTGGAATATCAACCAAAATTTCGTCGATTATCTCTGAAAAAAAAACGCAATTATTGGTAGATTTGACGAACCCCTAGAGTCCAGGTGTTCCGTATCGCGCTATATTTAGCGCAACTTGATTACGTCGGGCCAGATCGAACGACGAATAGGGATTTTCCGGACAACCGGCGGCGTCGTTGCTCAATGTCTCCTCTTCTCGTCGGCGCGATTGACGCGGCCAGTTCCGTTTTGCAGCGCGGAAACGCGCCGCGGGAACAGCAATGAAAGAATTATTGGCACGGGATCGAAGAGAGAATTAGTGTCAGCCGCGGGGTAAAGTTATTTCGGACGGTCGAGCGACGCACTGGCTGCTATAATTGAAGGCTGGTCGAGCGCGGAACGCTGGAACGCCGACGGTTCGCGGAGAACAAAGGGAAGATTGTTCCGTTTGGGATCGAAACCGCCCACGATATAGCCACTACGATCCGGAAATGATCGCGACAGGTCACGATTCCCTCTCTTTTTAGTTTTTTCACCCCCTCCTGGAAACCAAAATTTCGTTCGATTTTCACCTTGTCCGCGAAAAACGCTTTGTTTGCACGCTATCCCGTGACTCTTTATTATTTTACGTATGGCTTCGTTTGCCGAGCGTTCGACAACTGACTGGTTCACTCCCACGACACTGGTGGAACAAATAAGCAATTTTTTTCGAGCTATCATTATCACTATTTTAAGCAGTTTATTATTATCGTTCTCGAGAGATTTATGATCTTCAAGATACGGTAAACATATATACATCACACGAATGCGAGCAATTTATTATTCTCGAACCAACTCTCGAGATCACAATGGCGATATATTCGTATCGACCATCGATGATTTATTGTCTTCGAAACACGATAAACAAATTACATAAAAATTAAGATAAATTTTCGTACTTGCAATTTGGAAGGAACTGTGAAACAAAAATATGTCAGATTAATCGAGCTAGGGCAAACTAACAGGTTGACTGATATCCTTAGATACGTTGTCTAGGGATATTCCCGATATTTTTTCAAATTATAACAAATAGAAACATTCAATAGTATTCCTACTCTCTAAAAACAATATATAACCTATAAGCATCAAGGTTCATTTATCGTAAGCGCCGGTCACCGGTGACCACCACAGCAAACAACGTGACAACGAAGCAAAATATTAACCAAAGATAGAAATTAAAGTCGTCGACAATTCCTAAAAAAAGTTTCCCTGAACAGTTCGTCGAAAAAATGCTTTTTCTCCCCGGGTTACAGCGATCAAAGTTTTCCCGCGTAACGTTGACGTTGGTCCAAAATGGCGGAGTTCGAAACTTTGCGGTTTATCGCGAGACGCGTGTCTCGCCATCCAATTTTTTTCTTTCCCGTGCTGTATCAGCAGTGAAACACGAACTGTGTGCGTGGCCGACCGCATCGGTCACTATCTACCGGCTGACCAACCGCGGATGATAAATGTCGTTCCGAATTATTGCGCCGCCTTATCTCCGGCCGACGTTCCTATTTTCACGGCGATCCGTTAAGCCAGCCGTTGGAAATTTCGCGAACTTCTCGCTCGGGGTGCCGCGATCCCGCGATAAATAAACGCCTTTGTGCTCCGGGGCATGAAAATTTCCAGCGCAACATTTTTCTCTCGCGTGCAATTTACTCCCGCGTAACACTTTTTGAGGTTAGGCGAGGGTTTCAGAAACTCCCGCATTCTCAGCTTCTTGTTCGAGATAATTCTTAATCTCAAAAAGTCGAGATCGCTCACGGTCGTGCAACTCAATATTTTATTTACAGTTTACCATTAACAGTAAATAAAAAACAAAAAAAACAATTTCAATGAAGATAAATAATCGAGACGAATTTATCTTAGTTGAGCACAAGATGGCGCCCACTGACAGGAACTACACCGTTAAGAGGTTAGGTTGCTCTTGCCACGACTTTTCAGATTATTTTCGAAAGTTTTTGGCGACAGCAGTTAACCGGGTAGTCGGATGGCGATCGTGGTCCTCTTAAATTCTCCCCCTCCCCTACACAGTTCATTTTCCCTCCGCGTTTCCCGTACGGTTCACTTATCCAGTGCGCCCTTTGTTCCAGGCGAAATTGGAAACGAAAGCCCTGAAAGCGAAGAGGCCGGGATTCACGGACGAACGGTACAACGAGACCAGCTATTACGTGGAGAACGGTCAGTATATCCCCCCTATGTAGATCGTTTTATGTTTAATCCGCGAACGGTCCGTGATCCAGGACACTCGATATTATCCGATAAACGGTTCCCTGAAAGTGTCCCCCTCCGGAGAGTCGTTACGAACGCGACCGTGACGTGCACGCACGATTAACGGTTCACGCCCGGATTTATGATCGTTGATCGATCACTGAACCGATACCACGGGAGTCGTTGGGGTTCGCCGGCTAATGAGGCGACGTGGACGTTTTCGACCGTTCGTATCGAGGAGCCCAATGGACGAGGGACACACACGGTAACCTGATTTCACGTTAAACGCGCCCTGGCACGTTGCGTTTCGGTGCATCGGTTAACCGTAGATTCGCTCGAGAAGATCCGTGAATACGCACGGGTCTCCCACGGAGATCGTAAAGTAGTCGAAAATCACTTTCTCGCTCGTCGAGACTTATATATTAAAATCAACACATCTTTACGTTCACTATGTGTTCGTAAAATAAATCATTTTCGGTGGTCTTGTACGAACTGTGTTGTGTTAACTAAAGCCTATATTTACGCACAATGCTGTTTCCGTACTTACAGAACTGGCCCCTAAAAATCTGTGGGCCAGGAAAAAGGGGGTTCGCCAACTTAAATCTAATATTATCATCTAGTGACTTAGATTTTACTTAAACTAACTAAAACCAGGGATTTAACTAGATGGCGCTTGCTACGCCTGTGACGTTAGCCGCCACCGAACTTCTCCGCGTGGAGACCTCTCCAGGCTTCTGGAGAAACTAATCGGTCACGTGACATATATCGTCTTACGTAACCCGACCGGCAGTCTTTTCTTAGATGGCTTTTCTGTGCCACAACTTTTCTGTATACAGTTATTGGTGATCATATTCGTACACTATAATGGTGATAAATGTAACAAGTTTGTTATAAGTTGAGATATTTTGATACAGTGATGTCCATTTCTTTATACGTTGAGATATTTTGATACAGTGATGTCCATTTCTTTATACGTTGAGATATTCAAGTGTTTAAATTATAAAGAATTATTGTGAGTGGTTGTGGTACGTCGGAAACGTTGGGTCACGTCCGGTCACCCAAGTGCAGCATCATAGGGCCGTGTGCGCAGCGCAGGATGGGTTACCACTCGGCGAAAAAAACACGGTATTACGGGCCATTTATATTAAATCAATCGTATTCTGTGTCCACCTTCTAAGTAAGGTGTAATTACTTTCTCATTATTGTTTAAAAATGAACAAAAACTACTTCGAAAATAAGAAGACAGACAAGATATTAATATTTAGTAAGAATTAAACGGGGAAGAAAAATTCCTAATACTGTATTTCGATTCGTATGTAGAAATATGGAAAGTTTGATCTTAACTGGTGTCTATAGGAGAGTGGTGCAGTGCAGATGCTCATAACTTGACATTTACAATACTCAAGCTCACTTTCATTGCACGAGATCAGATTATAAGTTGTGTGCATCACAGTGTGAAATGTTTGGAATAATATGCCCCCCTCCAGAGAGATCGAGAAGAGAGGGTTAATAAAGTTCGAAAACGGGTATCGGGGAAGCATCGATCCGAAAGTAAACGAAAGACTTCCCTAATAAATCCCCCTCCCCCTCGACAAGTCTGTCGACACACCAAGCACCGCACGAACCACCGAGTTACCTATATTCCCGGCTCTCTCGTCGACTTGACTTCACCCTCCATTGGAAAATGTTCAGCGACACGAACGGTGGAACGAGCGAGAGACCGCGATACCCCGCCATTGATCGCCTCATCCGCGTTCGCGTCGACCTTACACCGGTAACTGCAGGTTTGCCCCGGCACTGTTCCGAGGTAATCGTGGATAATCCCGCGAATGGGCGCGATCCCAGCAATAATCCGACGAGTATTCACCACCTTCGACCGGGTTAGCGCAGTTAACGCGCGTGGCAATGGCAGCGAGAATCGAATGGGAAACGGGACGCCGACGGGGATAACCCGCACAAAAGAAGCTTTTTCGTTGTTGTCCCTTTCATCGACCCTCGCGCGCGATCTCCAGTCTCTTTCCTTCCCATATTCACCCGGTGTAATTGGGCGCTTTACAACGTCTTTCGACCCTAATTTCGCCCGTCCAACCACACGATTAACGGCTACATTCAAATGTATTTTTTTTTTTTTTTTTTTTTAAGTAGAAAGAGGTGCTTTTATTTTTGTTATTCAATGAGATAATCAAAATAAGGTCACAACGCGAAGGTAAAATGTTAAAAAATTTTAAGTACACAGTTTTTGTATGATGTAAAAAAATAATAAAAATTGATTAACAATGTTCAAAAATATTTTTCAAAATCGACAATCGAACAGTGTAGGTTTGACGATAGAACAAAGGATAATCACTTACATATGCTTCTGAATAAATTTTACTGTGCCTCGTGCAGTGGTACCTCGTTTACTGCATACTCGATCTATGCACTTAACGAGGTAACCAATTCTACGACTAGTGGACTCAATACAAATATACTTGTTGCTCGATACTGAACATCTAAGGCAATAATTAAGATAAAATAGCAAAGATAATTATTAACAATATGAAAAAGTATATTTATAAGAAATTTACACCGAATCGAAAATTAAAAATTGAACAGACAGCGGAGGTTTTTCCCACGATTGAGGGAATATTATTTCCTTCGCGATACAAAATCTTCATCTTTTTTTTCTATAGCAATTTACGGATTTTTATTGCTAAATTACTGAAAATGATTTTCCGGATTGTTTGCGAAGAAGGAAGTTGGACTTTTGTGCTTTCGACAGCTGGGGGGCGGGGGGCTGCGTGTCGTTTTAATTACGGTATCGACGTTAATTAAAAAGTGACGTTCGATGACTATCGTCGGGTCCGTTATTCCCGTGGCGGATCGATTTAGCCGCGTTCAGCGTTGTCGAGCAGAAACAGTCAGCTCGCGGTGACGCGAGACGCCCGGCTGGGATATTAGAATGCCCGGCCTAGCCGGTTTGAATTAATATCTCGATGAAAAAGGGCCTCCCCCGAGTCGATTTATCGAGTGTCGATACGTCCTGTAATTAAAGTACACCATCGCGGGCGTCGTCGTTCCGTGTTTCCACTTCGCGCGGCGCATTATCGACGTTCCGCGCGAATCGTTTGACGGACGGACGCTGCTTGACTGGCTTAGCTCGCCTCGTTAGCGGAACCAACGTTTATCCTTCGATAACAAAAGCTCGAAAAGTCGGAATCCATCGAACGACGTCGATGGCATAATTTCTTGGAACCGTTTGTTACGATACAAAGGCTTATTGTTACGTAAAATCTCCACTATTCGTTCAATTTTCAGTTTTCGATTTGGTGTAAATTTCTTGTAAATATATTTTTGAACATTGTTAATAATTATCTTTACTATTTTATCTTGATTATTGCATTAGATATTCACTATCTAGCAAGAAATAAATTTTGTATTGGGTCTACTAGTGGTAGAATTGATTACCTCGTTAAGTGCATAGATTGAGTATGCATTTAACGAGGTATTTCTATATGAGGCAATACTAACGTAAAATTTGTTCACAAGCATACGTAACTGGTTCCATTCGAAACGTTATCGATCCTTTGTTCCAATTTTCGGTTTTAAAAAACATTTTTGAACATTGTTAATAACTATCTTTGCTATTTTATCTTGATTATTGCATTAGATATTCCCTATCGAGCAACAAATAAATTTTTGAATTGGGTCTACTAGTGGTAGAATTGGTTACCTCGTTAAGTGCATAGATTGAGTATGCAGTAAACGAGGTATTACTATACGAGGCAATACTAACGTAAAATTTGTTCACAAGCATACATAACTGGTTCCATTCGAAACATTATCGATCCATTGTTCCAATTTTCGGTTTTGAAAAATATTTTTGAACATTGTTAATAATTATCTTTGCTATGTTATCTTCATTATTGCATTAGATATTCACTATCGAGCAACAAGTAAATTTGTGTTGGGTCCACTAGCTGTACAATTGATTACCTCGTTTACTGCATGGTCATTCCATGCAGTTATCAGGGTGCTACTGTTTAAGGCACTGTTCAGTGCATCTTGAGCGACAGTACTAACATAAAATTCGTTCACAAGCATACAGTAAATGATAATATCCACCTCCTCTAATTTCTCAATAATAAATATCCACCAAAAAAATTAACCTTCCATAATTAAGAATCTACAATTACCAGACCTATGAAAAAGCTTGTATTTGAATTCCAAATATTCAAAAGAGTTCTTAAACCCATGTTTATTGCATCGATCGAGGGAAAAGCGGAGGTTTCGTAGCAGAAAATTTTTGTTTCCTTTTCCGTGGAACCGTCTCGCCCGGAATGGAGTCTCCCCACCGTTTCCTGGACCCTCCCCCCGCTATTTACCGCGCGAAATTGCTCCCGAAGTTCGCGAGATTCGAGTCGTTGGATACCTATCGATTCCATTGAAGTTCATTATTGCAAGTTGCAGCCGCGTAGCGCGATAACAGGGGAGGGGGGGCCGGTTGGCGAAGTCAAAAGGAAAGGTGGGTGCTCGAAGCACGTAAGGACCGCGTCTCCGGGTACAAGTGTGCCGATGAGGGGGACAGGGGGGGTAGGTTGGACGAGAATGAAGAGGGACGGAATATATAGGGGGCTAGGGTGTGGGGGGGGGATACGAACGCGGAGACGGAGGAAATCGATCGAATATTTAGACCGGCTGTGGCGTATCGACAACCGATATCTGCTCCACATTCGAATAATAGACTCGCGCGCGGCTGACGACGTGCTGCCGGTGCATCCTCCGGTTCCTCCTCCGACGAAACAAAGACCTATTAATGCCACTCGAAAGACACACGCTCACCGACGTGGGGGCCCCCTCCGGTTACCTGGACGTCCCCTTAACGCCGAGAAACGCATTCCATTACCCGGGGACTTCTGACACCGTCTCTCTTTCGCACCGTGTTCGCCATTGTCACTTTTCGATTCTCAGACGTGGATCAACCCTTTGAC